TCACTGAACAGCAAAGACACAGACCTCAGTGTGACCGCTATCGTCCACTTCCAGATGTCGCCACATATCTGTCACAATATCAACCTGCACAGAGTAAGATGATGTTGCAGGAGAGGTTTAATAATTATTTTTTTTGTCATTGTTTTACAGTCTTGGTCACCATTGGAATCCGCTGTAGCTTCTCAACAATGGAACAAACTAAGAAACTTTTTCAGCCTTCAATCAACTCGCCAATTAGAAGTGATCAACAGCGCTGGTTTTTACATCCATCCATCCATCTCAACAACCTCCTTGGAGAACTCTCTCACCCTTCTCCCTCCATCTGTCACAACACGGCAGCCTCGACCCGAAACGTCTCATTTTAGGTCGCGATTGTTAAAAAAAAAAGAGGAGGTGGAGGCGGGTTCGGGGCAGAGGACATAAAAAGGACACGCACAGCGGGATTAGCAGGAGGGAGTAAGCACATGCTGTAACAGATGTGTGGATTTGGGATGTGCCTGTGGATCTTGTGTTACCCTCAGCCACTGGCATGCACTTTGCGTTCAAGCTTTTGGACCCAACCCACCAACCAGCACTGAGGACGTAGCGGAGAAGGGTTTCAAAAATGGATGTTATGGGACTTTAGACATCTAGGAGGGGACACAATAAACCCTAAACACTTGAAAAATACACATCTGTACTGTTTTCTTAAACGGCTTTTCCCAGAATCTCTGTGCCAATTTAAAGTTTTTTGGCTGACTGAAGTTATTCCCTTCTGCGCTCCGGCTGCACATAAGTTTGGAAACTGGTGAATTACGTCTGTTTAATTAAAGAGACCACTTGGAACGAACCCGCCTTCATATCATGAATTAGCAGAGTGGTAGTCTCTCTTTCCAAGGTGCTACATCAAACAGCATCAAACCTGTTACAGCAACATTAAGCCCAGCCTGTATTTCATGTCGCCGGTTCCTGCTGCCACTTCCTTTAAATATTTTCATAAAATTCAACCCCCCCTCCCCCCCCCGGTGTGCCCTGCTTGATTTATGCCGGCAGAACACCCAGGAAACAACAGCTCGTATAAATCACACACATATCTACATGTCCTCAAGATAAGGTTCATTCTTTCAAGTAAAATAAACTGTTCCTGACCATGTTGATGACAACTCTATCTGAAAATGCAAACAAGCGCAGTGATTTTAATAGTCTAGACTTGAAAAGACAAACAGGCAAACAACAGTGAGGGAAAGAAAAAGAGAAAGAGCGCACGATTGGTGCATGGAGGGGTGTGTCTCCCGTGTTTCGCTGCCAAGCCACTGTGGGTTTGTGTGAGTGTTTATGTGCGTCCGTCAGTGACTGTTACTCGTTATGGCAACCAACTTGAGCATTATGGGAAATTTCTGGACTCTGGGCACACAAGGAAACATCAGAAATCTTACAAGTGGAACTTCTTCACGTTGCACAGAGATGCAGAGAAGGGAGATGGGGGGGGGAGTAAACGGATGAAGGAAGCAGGAACGATGAGGGAGAGAGAGATGCTGAAGATTAATAAGAGGAAGAAAATATCAGTCCCAATCCGACCGGTTGAGCAGAAGAACCTTGTTCTCAAGGAGGACATTTTGGGGGGAAAGTACGGCGGTACTTAAGGTAACATGTTAAACAAAGTAAGGCCTAAAGAAGAGGGTGACATGAAACAGATGGAGGATGAAACGGCGAGGAATACCTGGAGAGAAGGTGAAAGGTTGCGAGGTGGGGGAAAAGAAGATGAGATAAACCAGATTTAAGAGGAAATGTCTTTGGGGAAATCTAAAAATCTAAATAAAGTTGGAAAGGTAAGAAGACTAATTATGGATAATGGATGGTGAATGGAAAAAGGCTAGAACATGCTCGTGTGGGAACATTAAGGGTCTATCTGAATCTGGCTACCCATAATCCTGTGAATACAATGCTGACACTAGTTCCTAAAAAGAAAGTGTTTTTTCTTATCATTACATCTTGAAGTTAGCTTTGATTTAAAAAAAAAAAAAAAAGATTCTCATGAGATTTTGGGGTTTTGGATTTTGGGAAGCCGTTTAATCCTTAATCCTTCACAGTGAGAAGAATCTTTGTTTTCAAAGCCAGGTGTCTTTAGTTTTCCATTCTGTATTGTTTGACATAATAAAAGCAGAGCGGCCAAGACACAAACTGGACTGGAGGAGATCAAATATTTTGGGTGGCTCTATTCAGAGAAATGGGTTCCGTCCAGAATACCCTTGTCATCTGTGTAAAGGCATATTAACTGTTCTCATTAATAATAGCTGGATATCTGTGTTGCAGTGTCCTCTTTCTTTTCAGCTCCAGTTGGAAAATCTCCCGGGGAGTCACTCACAACGCAGAATTAAAGCTTCAGTAAAGTTCGCTCGTCATTCCCTTTAAATAGGACTTCTGCAAAGCCACAGACAGTCCATTTCTATACGTGCATGTGTCTTCACCTTAAGAATCAGCACAGAGAAAAAAGAAGGCTGAAGAAGAGGCACAGAGTCTGTTTCTCATTTGTACTGTCGAGTTATTCTAGAGAGCCAGAGTTGGGCTGCGTAATTATAGAAATATAATCCATGGAAAAGCAGAAGACACAGATTTTGCCAAACAATTGAACTGACAAGTGATATCTGGAAAAGCCCGGTACGAAAGCACCACAGCGATAACTACAAAAATCTACTTGCAAAGAACCCTTTAAAGAGCTGCGATAAACAACTTTTTGGACACCGTTGTGAAAACTGAGCATAAATTAACGACAATTCTGAGTCACCCTGCTGCTGTGAAATCTAAATATCCTCATTTCCCTGTAATTGGCCTGTGTGGTCTGGATGTTTTTTGAAATATATTTCATTTCTTTTGTGGCTAACGGCGAGCATGCTTTCCCGGCTACTGCAGTCAGAAAAGTGGCCACAAAGCAGCTCGCTCGCGCCAAGATTAACAAAAAGATGAAAAGCTAAAAGTAAGCAAGCAATGAAAGAAAGCCAAACACTGCGGCGCACAAGGCAAACCAAGTGGCACCGGCGCTGCTTTTTCTTTGTGTTTTCATGGAGGCTGCAGGAAGTTGCTTTGACTTGGGGGACTGTTTAGGTTCCAAGATAAAATCTGACACGGTATTATGAAAATGGGTAATTTGCATGACTGGGTCCAAGAAAACAAACATATCACAGGTTTTTTTTTTGTTTTGTTTTTGTTTTTCCATGGATGACCAGCATCCAAACGTTCCATGATGAAAAGTTTGCAGTTATTGTAAGGATCAGCTTCATCATCACAGTAGAAAGATTAAATGACTGACAAGCACACTCTTTCTTAAACGATGTCACTATTGCACCTCAGGCGACAAATGGCCTATTATCTCTATACCACACACACACACATACACACACCCACACACACCCACACACACCCACATACACAGACACACAACAATACAATACAGGATAAAATAAGTATTTAAACCCCTGTTATGTGCGTGCATTGGCATAGCTGACACATGTGAAGGCATACAGGCTGACATGTGCTTTGGCCCAGATATGTACACACACACACACACACACACACACACATACTTGCACGCATTGTGCACACAAACTTGCATTGAGCACACACACTCAGACACAACGCAGTGATAACATTGGCCATCAACAGGTCATTCCTTACATGCCTTTTGGATAAATAGACAGCCAGAAATAAAAAGAGGGAAAGTGTGTGTGTGTGTGTGTGTGTGTGTGTGTGTGTGTGTGTGTGTGTGTGTCAGTGAAACAGGGAGAGAGGGAGAGAGAGAGAGAGAGAGAGAGAGAGAGGGGAAACACAGATGAGAGATTGGGATAGTGGAGCTTGTGTGAGTTAATTGAGCTGCTCTAAAATGTTACTTGGCCACACACAATGTCCTATATGAAGTCAACTTGTAAAAGTAACAATGGTTCATGACAAAGGATGTGACAAGATAAAAACTGTCTCACGATATCAGTAGAGAGACGCAGAGCAGCAGCCATCATGAATGAGTCTGATGTTAAGATGAAAATGACAATGGAAGATGCCCCCACCACTTTGACAGTTTGTGTGGCAGGCAGCATTTTGGGTACCGGGTGGAAAAGACGAACGGGGAGAAAGGGTGTCGGACGAAAACCAGAACAATATGTCGGCAGTGAGATTTGTTACAAGATGGTTACTAGTTGGAAATTTTCAAAATGGACCTGCGTTGTTTTGCTATTTTAGACTTTCAATCAAATAAACGACTATTTTTCCAGTCATCTGCATTTTCTTCATTTTATTATTATTATTTTTTTTATAAAATATCGTCTCGTCTTGTTCTTGCGAGCCCAACATCGTGCATCATCTAGAGCCGATTGAATCATGTCGGCTTGATTCCCACAACTCAACATCACATATTGTGAAACTAACTTCTTATTTTTTGATACTATTTGAACACTAAAATCAGAGGTGTCTCGAATTAAAACCTGCCTTTATTTGTCCAAACATGCGCCCAACACCAGGTTTAGTGAAAGGCGTTTGGTGAGCCTTATATTGGGATGGGCTTCTATTTGAAGTTTTACGGTAAACTAATTACTAAAGCATAGTAACCGAAGAATATCGAGAGGAGGGTTTGTTGTTGGGAAGAAGAGACGGCTGGAGTGACAGAGATCGACAACTAAAAGGAAGAAGACCACAAAGACATTGAGGGAACGAGAGTAGAGCGGAGACAAACAAGGTGATGAAACCCATTTTTTGCTGAACTAATGGACCAGTTAAGACCACAATAACAGACACAGAGATATGCGGTAGAGTTAGCGGAAATAAAGCATTTTATCCATACTGGCGCTCATGTTGGTGCATTAAAAATCCATTGTGGTCTGCTCTAGAGTGGCCCATTTGTGTTTTATCAGGTCGGATTTTACATGAGATAAGGGACAGTCCATTTGGCCTACCACGAGACCAACAAGTGGATCAGTGCTCGTGTGTGTGTGTGTGTGTGTGTGTGTGTGTGTGTGTGTGTGTGTGTGTCTCACCAGGTTTGAGCCTCCAGTCCAGTAGAGGAAAAATCCATCTGGGTCAACTTTCAGGGTTACCAGGGTGGGGTGCCCGCTGTTGGGCTCCTAGACAACAACAACAACAACAGAAACAGAGATGTCAGATGAACAGGAGCACAACAACAAGAAGCATGAGCTCAAATTTTACAAGCAGTAGCCAGTGCACATAACATCATTACTAAAAGGGGGTCTTTTTAGGTCGCTAGATCGCTCTCTTTGCTAACAGTAACGCTAAATGTCAAAACTAGCAAGCTGTGCTGAATGGATGAGCAAGACGCCGTATCTGCAGAAGAAACATGTGAGATGAAACACTGTCGGTGCAGGAACGGTGAAAAAGCTTTCTGAATTTTGTTCAAAGCATGTACTTTACAGTTGCATTGGCTTGGCGGTGAAGGGGCTACAATTTGTCAAAAGTCAAACAAACAGTATGTTTAAGGATCTGATGCAATAGCTAGTCCACCTGCACATCAGGCATCAAAGCAGTATAAATAAAAAAAATGCTAAATTTGAATGCTTCAATTTGAAATAGTGCTGTCTGAGGGGCCACTGTTTCAACTTGTTAAAACAGCTCAACATTGGTGTAAAATACCTTTCTTTCCAGGTAGTCTCAAGGCAAATAGCACAGTACAAGTTAAGCTGGTTAATGGTAGGAAAGGTTGTGCCTGTTGTTGTGCCAGTGCTTTGGCATTATGGGATCGAAGACAAACGCCAAAACAGACAATTGTGTGTTTTCCGTCCTGCGTAACGCAACAGCCGTTCCGATGCGAAAAAACCACACAATCCAATGTGATAATCCACATCGTTTGCTATCACAGTGACAGGTGACTCATGTCCTGAGGTGCATCAATATCAGCATCATCAGCCGAGAGGGGAGAAAGATCCGTCAACCGACCCACAGGATACTTTCTCATTGACGTACTCACAGCAAATACAGGAAAGTTTACAAAAAAAGGCTTCATATAAATGACTCATCACCGACCACACATTTGTATTTTTTTACACGTACTACGACTAATAAAAACAATTTGAGCAAAGCGAATGTACACATGGACATTTCACAGTTCATATTAGAATTGCAAACGCTGACTGACAGGTTGAATGTTTGATTCAAGCGTGAATGGATCCAAACTCGGCGTATCAAACAGCTGATGCAAATCAGTTTCTCGAAAACTTCAGCAGAGCAGGATCCCGAAGCAAAGACAAACAAATGGCACTATTCAAGCACTATTGCTCATGTATACTCACAGTAATCATGCTCGCCTTGAATAGGGGAGATAAAAAACAGGTACAAAATGTGAAGTTTGTTCAGTTTCAGATCATTCACAATGTTTTTTTTTTGCGTAAGATTGAAAGTTGAGATGTCTTAAAGAGAAACCAAGAGTTTACATCATGATAAAAAAAACAACTTTATTTCAAATAACTATATTATATTTGATTTTCAACACATTTCGTTGTAAATAATGATTTTTTTTTTTACCTAAATGGATCAATAATTTGCTGAAACAGGGAAACAGCTAGCTTGGCTCTGTTCATGTTCATGACATTTGCTAACAGGCACTTACTTGCATGACTTATCTAGTTAGTTTCATCCTTTCAAAAAAAGTGTGAAAAAAAAATATGTTATTTTGACAGTAACCAAGCTAAGAGACAGTGTGGCACATAATTCAACCCCAGTCAAATGACTTTTGTTACCTTAAGACACAGCCAGGCTAGCAGTTTCCCAGTTTTTATCTTCTATGCTAGCCTGTGCTAAGCTTAAGTTTAGCTGCCGATGCTTCTCAATGTTCTGCCCATAAGCAACAGATAGGTGAACTTCCCTTTATGTTAAACTATCTTAAAGAAGTCTACTTAGTTTATACTATAGTCCTCTTGCCATTGTACATTTCTACTACATCTTAAACTAAACATACCTTGAGTTTAGGCTCCAAGGTTGGCTAACGACGGAGAAGGAGTTAGCAGTTATGGTGTATGTTTGAATCGGATAAGGACAGAAGAGACGGGGGAGACGGGGGAGACGGGGTTTCAGAGAGAGGGAAAGATGGAGGAAGGTGGATAAGAGTGGGATTACAAGAAATGTTGAAAAAAGGAAATGAGAAACAAAAAGGTCAGGAGCAGAAGAAAAGAGCTTCAAGTCAAACCAAATCACAAGACCTTAAAAGCAGGAGGCCAATACAAATCATTTCTGAAGAGAACATTTTTATGAAAAAAAAAGTGTAATCTTGTAGCACCAGTAAACTGTTTGATCGCATGCTTTCACATAAATAGGCCGACCTGCATTGACAGCATATGTTTTTGCAGGTTTTCTAATGTTCACTCTGCTCTACGAATTACTGAGCTTGTGACACATGTACTCACCTGAACAAGTGGCAAACTCCAATGTCCATGCTTTGATTAAGGCATAGACCTAGAGTCGGATACTCTTTGCAGCTGGAAATTTGATGCCATAAAATGTCAACAAAAGAACATTTTCTGAAATTTCCAGGGATGCCTAAGCCCGCAGCTTTACTTTGTTTATCTTTTGTCTGCTGGATTTGAGTAATGTCCAACATTTTCTTTGGAAGATCCAGATGTTCCCAAGAAACATAACCAAATTCCATCTTAGGAGCAGAGGACAGTTACATACACATCAGTATCATATATGCAAATTAAAATGCCTGGCTTGAGTGATGAAGGCAAATGAGGTTGAAAAATGTACCTCTCATACAGTTGCATCTTCCTACACTTAAGTCAAAAAGACTTGTTTTTTTTTTTACAGGCAGTATCCAGTTTCAGCTATACCTCACTGTCTTGAATTTACAATTAATAGAAATTTGTAATGACAGCTGAAGTGGAACAGTATGAGCATACTTGTGTTACATTTGTACAGCTGTTCTACTCATCGTCACTCTTTCTATGAAACTTGCATATAAAACTTTTCAAATATGGAACACATTGCAATTACTTATGTATGGGGTGCCTATGCAAACAAACTCATCCGATGTATCGTAAAGCATGATTTCTGTGTGTAGCGTGCAGCAGTAGGAAAAAGAGAACATCCATCAGGGTCAAGAGGTCATGCTCAGAAGAAGAAAAAAAAAGTGAAATATGCTTCAAAAAGGAGACACTCAACTCCCACAGACCTACAGGTTTTGGGTGTAAAATGAATTCAAAATGATTGCAAGCCCTAATACTTAAGATCCTTGAAGTGAAACAGTCATGTTTGCCAAATGGGTGCTGCTGAGGTAAGTATGGAGAAGTGCGGCAGTTTTGAAATGAATAGTCAAAGGCTCTCGAGGAACGATTCCGGTAAGGTGTCTTCTACTCTTAACTTGTTCCTTTCCTTATTTGATTTTTTGGGTCGGCTCAGTTTGTGTCCTGAATTCTCCTCAATCGCTCGTTTTCTTTTTTTTCTCTCTAGCCTAAAAATAGATTCAATATCCAGGTTCAATACACACTTTGCAGGGGATTAGATGGGGATTTCTATTGGGACCAGACACACAAACACACATACACATTTACCCAGAAGACTGTGATGTAAAGTCTCATGTGACCACTGATATAACAACAACATCTCCCATATACAGTAGCTGTAAAGCCACAGAGGTGGACGGTCATCTATATTTGCATGTCATGCCTGTTTAGTTTTGCATTCCTGACAGTTGCTTTCGAGAGCTGCCCTTTCACAGATAAAGACACAAACTCACACGCACACAAAAACCTGCATGTCCATTCAAAAATGTTAATTTAGAACTTCTTCAAATGATTATTTATAGAAAAGCAGAAATTAAAAATCATTTTCTGGATCCAGCTTTAAAGCGTTACAGAGTTTAAAAAGCAAGTAGAGCCCAACCGGAATACTTGTCCGGTCGATAATATTGGCAGATATAAGTAGGTTTGTTCATTTTATAAATTGTTACACTTTTTCTTTATTGGTCAAGATTATTTTTACTCTGAAAAGGGTTCATAACACAAAAGGCCACTTTGGTTTGCATCTTAAATTAAGGGTAAATCATTAGTGCATGCCCTCCACCAACACAAACACCTTGTTTACCATAAACACACCCAGTGTTTTCTTTTCTGTTAGACAGAGGGCAGTGTGTGGTAGGTCTATAAGTGGACCTCTCCCCGTTCCCTAATGAAGCAGAAACCTCCTTGCTTCCTTTCTTTCTCTGCATCCACAGCTCATTCAGTTTGCCCTCTTCAACACATGGATTCCTTTTTTCCTTCTTTATTAATGATTTGGCTGTGTGCAGACCCGCTCCAGGTCCCCCGACTCTCTGACAAACCCCTCCATTACCCGACCATAATGTCACACACACACACACACACACACACACACACACACACACACACAGAGGAGACGGACCACCCTCTGAGGCTGAAGTCTTGGACAGATACCAGCTAATGAGACCCTCTTTAAACCCCCCCACCGTCTATAAACAGCATACGCATGTCGAAAGACAAACACACTGCTATTCTGTCTCCTTACCGACACACTGTCCTCACCACAGATTCATGTGTGTGTACACTGCCAGTCAGGAGAGAGCCATTAGTGGGGAACTGATAAAAGTAGCTGCACCGAAGTGCACCTTTGCTCCGCCTTACTTCATGTGTTCGGGGACAGATTAGTGGAGTACTGTGAGAACGAGGGTCAGTGTGCACTCTGACTGAGTGTGTTTGAGCTGCTGCTTTGGCAACATGGCAAAAGTTGATGACAGTCGGTAACCTTTGGACTCAAGAGGTGGGAGCGGCACCAGAGAGAGAAAATGAGTTGTAGAATACTGAACAGAAAGAGGGAAGTAGAAGGTCGGTCAAGTTAATATTTATTACTGTTGAAGATGTAGAGGAGAAAAGTATTTATCCAGAAAGTGTTACATACTTTAGGTGTACACATAGAGAAGCTTGGTCAGTGGCACAGCTCGTCAAAATATGGCGCTGTAAGTACTTGGGAGGGTACAACTACTGTTGGCATCATTATTCTTGTAATCATTTCATGACTCACCCACCTGTGAAAACGTTGTTCAAGGCTACAGTAGTTCAACTTAGCTATCTTTACATGTGTACCTGAGCGTTCTGGGTGCACCCAA